AACTTGCATTTCATTTCTCTGCTAATTAGTTTTTCTTTTCCTGTAACAAATCTTCAGTTCCATGTTTCCATAAATTCTGGATTCTCCTGTGTGACCTGGTCTAGGTGATCCTGCTCTGGCAGGGAGGTTGCACTAGATGATTTTTTGAAGTCCCTTCCAACTCCTAGTATTCTCTGTGATTCTTTGAACTTACTATGTTTTAAAGTTCCAATTACTTTTAAATCTGAGAAAAAAGCCAGTGCCTTCACAGTAAGCAATGTCACTGTTGCTGAAAGTGTCTTTGAATTTCTTTTCTTTTGTTCTGTAAACTAACTGGGATTTTGACTCCACAGAAGTCAGTGAAACTTTTCTCACCAGTTTAAGTGGGCTTGGGATTTCCCCTAGAATATGTTAGGTGCAAAGCTGGTATCAAGTATGAAAATAGTTTTCAGAAGAGTAATTTCTCTTGTAGTGTTTTTATGAAAATAATAATTTTGTTTGACATTTTAAAAAATGGCATGCAGTGTGCACAATTAATACAATATATTTTAATAACAGAACCTAAATATCATTTTAGTTTTGATGGATAACTAATTAAAGAAGACCTATAAAGGCTTGTCTAGTGGATAACTTCTACAATAGTAGAAACTATTCTATAATAGTTTACATTGAATCAGGAGAGAATGAGTTCCTCTAACATCTTTGGTGCAGCTGCCTGTTACTTTAGCCCCAGCTGAAATAATTAATGGAGTTCAGGAGGAGTATGTCCACGAAGTTTGTCCACAGGACTGCTGGATAATACAGACTGTGTGAATAGGTGGCTGTGGTCTACATGCAGCCTGTGGGGAAACTTCTCAGTTTTAACCTGAACGACAGATGATTACTCAGTTTCCCTTTTAGTAAGAAATTGGTTTAGAGGCTACTCCATGTGTAGAAACAGTGAAAGACCAATATAAATTCTGTTTGTTCTTAGAGGTTATTAACTAAAGCTTCACAGCTCTTCAGTGGGCTCAGTGCAAAGGGAAACCTTCATGTCACCATCCTCTCTTCTGCGGGTGTTTTGTGGGAAGACCTTTGCAGAGCTTCTAAAACTAAACATTGTCAAACTTGCAAGCACATGCAAACATGTAAATTAATAAGAAAATGTGGCTGGATACTTTTTAGCATTGAAAGCCCACAGAATTTAAAAATTCATGTAAATATATAAATAATAAATAAAAAAATTATATTTGTTCAGCAGTTTAAAATGGAACAAAACCATTCCTGGGTCTAAAACTTTCAGCACAAAATGAGAATTTTTGTACCACCTTTTTTTTTTTTCTTCTTTAGAAGTTAAGATGAAAGCTAGTGCTGGAGATAAAAATTAGTATTATCGTAACCTCATCTGCAAAGCCACAATAGTGGCTTTTATAATAGTGTGATGTATTTCTATAATGTCATACAAGCAAAATAATTAGAACCAGTTTTCACAACCTGTTTAATCTATTGGATTAGATTACAGTTTCTCATTTTTGCAATGTATGGTTAGGTAAATGAGCAATTAAATATATGTTTATTTACAACCAGCATAAAATGCTAGAGCCCTTTTGGGATGTAGACCTGTTGTGTTATTTCTGAATCTGCTTCAGTTGTGCTGGTGGGATTTTTTTTTTATTTGTTTGTGGTGTTTGATGTGTTTTGTTGTTGTGGTTATTTTCTCCTTTTTTTCATTAGGGTGGGAGAACTAGAGGTGGTTATTCAAAGCTCTGGAAAACTGAGTTTGAACACCTCGATCCCTTTGGAGTAGGTAGTGTTCTCCCAGACATTCTAAAGAAATTCAAAGTTGAAATTGATTAGATAGTAGTTATAGCATGTGATCTGACACTTAAAACTGCCTCAGAAATAGTGACTAGTTTGACTAGTATCCACTTTAAAAAAATTATTATTGGATGAAATGACAAACCAATGGACCTTATTATATGTCTAGGACATGCTAGTTGAAATCTTGAGAAATATGAAAGAATACAGTATATTAAGGAAGAGTTATCACAGCTTTAAAAAATGCTTTGTAGATATTGAGATCAACGGCGTAAAGATACGTATTATTATGTATTATACACTCAGAAGATCTTATCCCTTCTAGTTTCTTCTCTTTCATTTGTCTGCCCTCCTAACATAATCATATCTCCCTCACTTTGTTTTGTAGTGTTAAATGCAGCTCTTCTAGCCATTACTTGTAAAAGAGTCACTCTTTCTCTGCATAAAAGACAGAAGTAATTTCCCACCCCATTAGAGCTTGAATGCATTGTCTGGAAACACAGCTGACCTAACATTGAACACATTATTTCTCATTAGCCAGGGTCTTGCACAATGGTCTGGGCACTCTTATATCTTCTTTAGCCTAGTGCAGGTAGGGTGCCAGCAGGTGAGCATGGATAGACTGCATCTGACCTGAGTGAGTAACTTTAGGTACGGTGCTGTGCTACGTAAGCCCTTTTGCTTTGGTCTCTGATAGCTTAAGAACCTTTGGTGCTGCTTTCTATGTCCACAGCATGGCCATGGTAGATCTCACACTCCTAGCAATCAGTCATTGACATGGTCTACCCTGGATAAAGTCAATGTCTAATTCTGTTCTCTTTGAACATCAATTTCTGTAATTATTCCTGTATTCAAATTTCGTTGTGTCAGTTTTGGGCAGTTTTTTTGACCCTACAAGCTGCATACCGAAACTTTCTTTAATCTGCCTGCACTGATCACTTAGGCTTGTAGGGATACCTCCTTTATGTGTTGCAGTCCCTAGATTTCTGGATACTGTTAAATGTTCAGGCTGACCTTGCTGAAACTAGGCAGTGTAAATGCTCTGCATTTAAGAGAGTTTTCAAGGAGGATTGTTCAGAATTTTAATGTTTTGAGTTTTACGGCTTTTCATTCTGTAAATTGCTTGGGGTGTTTGTTTGTTTGTGTGGGGTTTTTGGTGTTTGTTTTTTTAAATTAACATTTGTGCATCAACAGACTTGCAGTTCCTTATTTTATACCTTGATCTTTTGATTCAGCTGTGTTTGTCTGCAGTTGTTCACAATTTGAAACAAGATTGTAGGGAATTTTCTATTAATAAGACTTGTTTCGAATAAAAAGAGAAAATGGCAAGGAATCATGCCAACACTTGTTTCCGAGAGAATTCTACAATTACTTTAGAAAGGGGTAGTAACAAATAATTTCCTAAATGACAGGGTTTGTTTTGGTTTGTTTTCTTTTATGTGTTTGGATGTTTGCCTTTTTGAAGCTATTTTAAAATTTTAGTATTTTTAGTATTGTATCTCATTTCCAAGGGTGCCTCCCAAACTCCTTTTTTGTCTGTCCTCACTGCTGATTTACATAAATACTCTCAGATTTACTACTTGATTGGCATGTGTTCTGTTAGCACAAATGACGTCCTATGCTACACAGCAAGCATGTGTAGACCCTGAGAGACCCGTGGCTGGTCACCATATTCATGCCTGCTCTGGGAACAATTCTTTAACTCCCATGTACACAATCTGAGCTCCTGTCAATCCACTTACTGAGCCTCTACTAAACATTTCCAGAGAAATTTGATCACTCTCTGCAAATATGCCATCCTCTGGTGTAATTTTGTGTCTTGTGTGAAGTAATATTCATTCCCATTTGTTTCAGTCAATCAGATAACACCCTGAGGAATGAAGATTTAGTCTTTGCTATACTTTTAGTTGATTTCACTGCAAATTTTATTCCTGTGTATGAATGGGTAAGCACTCTAAGTATTGGTATTGTGGGGAAAGAAGTTCATAGTTGACTGAATGAAGGAACTTTTTTTTTCTTGTTTAGGTGGATTATTTTTCTTTCATTTTTTTCTGTTATCATTTGCTTTTGCATCACGGGAGAGGATACACTATTCTGTCTGTCTGTGCTGCTCTGTTGGGTCAATATTTTATATACAACTGATATAGACATATGTATTGGCTGTTTTTTCTTCCTTCCAAGCTGAGCCTTGATTCATCAGAAGCCAAAGGGAAACTAACTTTTAAAAGCTCTGGGCTTAGGAGGAAAGGACTGTGGCTGTCAGGGGCTGAAGGGGAACCATGACAAAAGGCCAAAGATCTGAGGATGTCCGTGAGCAGTAAATCCTGTGGGCTATTCGCTAGGTAGCCTTATCTATCTTACAGCGCCCTGTGTCTGTACCGAAGACAACATTGTCATTACTTCTGAAATGCGAGGGACTGACTTATTAAAAAAGGAAAAAAAATGTTACAAGGATACTACACAGAAGTGCCATCCCATTAGTCTTCTCCTAGTCATGCTTCTGCACCCTGGCAGCGCAGCTGAGCAGCAGATGGGGGCAGTTGTAGGCTCTGTGGAAGGATACAGCTCTACATTGACTTGCTTTTATTTCTTCTATTCTTAGAGGTGAGATTGGTATTTGAGCATTCATACCTTCTTCTATGCTATCTTAACATCATCTTTTTTGTTTGGCCCCTTACTCCCCATTTCTGTGTATAAATAAACTCAGGAATTTTTTGTCACGTTCAGGTAAGTTGATCTTAGAGATCACTTCTGATTCTGCTCTTAATGCTATATTCAAAGAGTTTGTGTGTATTCTTTTGGTCAGCCCTGAATTGGTCAGGCAGTTGGACTAGATTATTGTTTTAGATCCCTGAAATGTTCTTTTCTAGTCAAGTCTATTCCCTTCCCTCTGAGATGTAGTAGTTTGACTTTTACTTGTTTTAAATCTCGTTCACTGTTTGTTTTCTAAGTCATGTTATCTGATTGAAAAAATAAGATATCAATACTTCTTGCAGACCATTTCAAGAGGTTAGTCTTTAGTGTGATTACTGCAGGCTTTGGGGTTTCATCAACTTCAGTGGGAGTTCTCCTATGAAGCCCTAATGTTGAACCCATATGAGCAATATGGGTCCTAATTTCTCTATCTGTAAGTGCCTGCTTCTGGGTTATTCCCTGCCCTGTCTGCCGAAGGAAGGAATTACAACAAATTTTAAAAGCCTGGTTTAATCTTTCATGTACTTTAGAATCTTGACAGTGCTATAATAGGGAGAGAGAGTTTGGAGATGGAGATCAGAAACCTCCAAGATAAACTGACTGCTAACCAGAAAGCTTTGGATGCCTCAAAGTGGGAACTGCACAGTCTGAAGAAATCTTCCAGTGAGCTGGATGGAAGCTTGAAGAGCAGCAGAGAAGAGGCCAGGACTGCTCAGAGCTCTTTAATGGCTTTTAAAGAGCAAATAGCTACCCTACTCAGTGATGGATCTGCAACAGTTAAACCTTCTGAGAAGGCTATTTTGAAGAAGATCCAAGAAATAAACTGCAAAGAGGAGAGTAAAGAAATAGTAAGTCAGCAACTATTGCACTTGCCCAATGTGTGTATTTATTCTCTTTGCATCCTTTTAAATTTTATTCTTCTGTTACAGTGTTCATTCCTTGTGCTTAAGTTCTGAGATTATAGAAACTTTTAATTTTCTTGTCTATTGATTTGAGATAACAAGTGAAATCTGTCTATGTTTCATTAAGTAGGAAGAGGTCAGAAATGAAATTAATAGTAGATGCTGTTAACAAGAAAAGACATAGAATGGTCTTTCAGCTAAGACATTTGGTTTCAGTTCCATTTAGTAGACATCAAAAGTGGTTGTGTGGTCACCAGGATTTAGTGGAAATCTGAACAGCTGTGAATTTGCTGGTGCACCAGTGACTGCAAGGACTGACCTGTTTCTCAAAGCAGACATAATTGATGAGTTGCCCCAGGCAACTTCTTTCCCTCCAGCCCTCAAAACCTGCACCTAAAAATAAAAAAGTGAAGATGAGGTTCAAGACCACCTAAAGAACCTGAAGGTGCACAAGTCCAAGGGATCTGATGAGATCCATCCACAGGTCCTGAGAGAAATGGTGGATGAAATTGCCAAGCTGCTATCCATCATATTTGAAAGGTTGTGGCATGATTTTGTTATTTATTATTTGTAATTAAACAGAGGCATTCACAGGTCCCTGGAGTCCAAGGCAAGCAATTATTTTCAGTTTGCACAGAGCTCAGGCCTGTTTATGAGATCTCTGGGTTTGGGTCCTTTCTGTTTGATAAGTTTTCTTACAGATCTGTTGCAGCAAATTAAATTCATATGGTCAAACCTGATTCTCTTGACTACCTACCCATCTGATCTGAGATAGGAACAGTTGATCTGACTGTAGATGGTCTAAATTTTATCAGTTTTTGTCATTGCATATTGACATACAGACTCTTAAGTGCCAAAATTGATTAGGCTCTACTACTAGTCCCATTAAAGTCTCCTGTTCTCATTTCTTAATGATTTTTATGGCAATGTCATAAATGCATATTTAGTTTTGGGGATTTATCCACTTTTTCCTTCCAAACAAAAGGTTTGAGTGGAAAATAACTTAGGAAATGAAATTAAACATTGATAAAAGCAGAGTAATGTACATACTGACTTAGGGCTGACCAAGAAAATCCCAACCAAATAGAATGTGTGAAATTATTAGGATAAAAAATTGAGAAGAAAATGAAAACCGTAATTATCCCACTGTATAAATCCATGGCTGCTGCGTTCTGAGAAGCAGACACAGTTACCAGTTTTTCATTCCAAAAAAAACGGCCTTGAAAAAATACTGGCAAGGGCCATGAGAGTGCCTAGTGGCTTCCATGCAAGGAAAGGCTCAACAGACAAGAACTTCTCAGCTTGGGATGGTGAGTGTAATGCAGTAAAGCTAAATACAGGTAAGTACCATGATAAAAGATGTGGCAGCCCTAATGCTTTTCAGCTGGTAGGGATCTTAAAAAAAATAAATAAAAAAGAAAGTACTAGGTACACACGTGTTTGTGTATATGGGTACATATAAACCAGTGGAAGTTTAAGATAAAGTCTTACCAAATCAGAACAGTATAGCTTATTAATTGTTAAGATAGTACTAAGAAGATTAGAATATTTAGTTGTGGTAGAAAAGAGGAAAAAAATTTGCCACTGTGATGTGAAGGACCTTGTAACTTCATCCTTCATCCTACATGATGCTTTTTTGCAGTCATCCTAAGCCTACTGTGCGTCTGTCTCTGGCTTTTGGGCTGTTGAGGGAAGTGCCCTACTGACTGCATAGCTGTAGCCCGCTTTCTGTTCTGGTATGCTGTGGGTCTGGGCCTGGTGCTTGCACATGCCATCTTAGAAGAAGGAAAAAAAGAAGCTTAGCACAAGAGAAAAATAGAGTTCAGGAAGATTTTATGGAGGATTTTTTAGTTGCAGCTGTTTCCAGGGTAGGAGCTGCCTCTGGCAATGAGTGCTTGCAGCTTCTTGTAAACAAGAAAAAAAAAGGTCTGTCTTTGAAAATATCTGGTAGCTACATTAAAACAAAAAGCAGGAATTATTTGGGTTTTTTTGCAGGCTGCTTGATTAACCTGTACAAGTCATTGGTACAGGGAATAATGGAGGTCAGAACTGCAGGACTAAAAATGCAAGCTTTGTAAGTCACTGGGTGGGTAATAAGGGTGCAACTCTATTTTAGGAAATCCCTAGGTTGTTGATTGTCCCTGAACCACAGATGAAGGCTACTCCAGGATGCTCTGGAAGGTAAACTGACAGCTTGGTGGTTCTGTGGTCTCACCTTCTCTAGTATGATCACTCACCTTCTCAAGTTTATGGACCTTTGAAGCCTGTAAAGCCTTATGCAGCTGGGCTGTGCCTAGAGCTACTCTGCAGCCTGAAAAGGGGCTCTGGATTCTCTGACAACAGCATGTCTCTATGGGCACAAGTTACTGAAAGCTCTTTCCCCCCCCACCCCCCCTGCTGAGTGATATGTGATGCAGAAAAGCATAAAATGTGTGTGTAGGGTTCTTGTAGCCTTTTTATTGTTTAGTGTTTTCTAGCAATGTACAAGCAGCAGTAATTTCTCAGTGTTCTTTAGGCGGGTTGGGTGCAAACTACTGTTTGTATTTAATTTCAGTCTAAGTTGGAAACCTTTCTGTGCCATTAAAATTAATGGGAGTTTTGTGTGCTTACTGTTCATTTTATTAACAGGAGACAAATAGATGCTTAAAATGAAGAGACTGCTTGGAGATAAGTGTCTGAACACTGAGTTACAATTGCAACGTAATTATTTACATAATGAAATCATTATATGCAATAAGAAAAGGAGAGAGGGAAAAAGGGAAGCAAGCAACTTTTTAGAACCATCTTTCTGCTGAATGCTTTCAGGAATTTAATTTATAAGTAGTTTACAACTTAAAATCCATTACATTATATATAGGTGTTGCAAAGTTAACAGTGTAGAGCTAGAAGTGTTTTCAGAATTATTAGTCTAGTTTCTTGTTACGAGATATTATCCTTTTAGCTTTGAACTTTGGCTAGATTACAGAAATTATCTTGGGGGTTTTTCTGTGGGTTTTTTTCGTTGTTGGTTGTTTTTTTTTTAGCAAAATCTTGTAGTTAAACACCTTTAACAGTTAACAATTGGGAAGCACACCTCTGAGACTTAGCTAACCATATCTACAGTCTCAGCTACATGCTGCTTGTATTTTCTGAATCACTCTTATCTGCTTTTTCCACTCAACTCCTCAATGGACTAGTGATTTTATTGGCTTGTTTTAAAGAACATTAGTTGACTGCAAGGTATTGCTGATTTGCTAACATCTTTGAAAAGTTTGTGTCTAAATTAGTTTGCAAGTTTGTGTCTAAATTAGTTTGCATTATCATTTATAGATATTAGTTGTTTTTAGTTGTTTGGCTCATCTGAGTTATGGTTTCTGCTGTTCACTTTTGAGTGTCTCACTTGTCACCGCTTCTGCTGTTTTCTCCTGGTGGTTCTGGCAGATTTTTCTCTTTTTGTCTTTTTAAATGTATGTATTTTAAAAGTAGAGTTTTTACCCTCTTTTTAATAATTTGAGGAGGCCTCTTTCATATCTTTCTAACTCTTCCACATGACCTAACCTCATGTGTTGGTTTGCTTATTTCTTAGATGGTGTCTCAACTTGAAACCCAAATAGCTAGATTGACTGAAGCTTTGGAAAATCAGACCAGATTGTACCAAGAAGCTCTGAAGAGGAGCAGGAAAGCAGAAAAATGTTCTGAGACTTTCCAGGATCAGCTGAAATACTTGGAAGAGGAATTACTGTCTGTAGATCTGATCCAAGATGGTTTGAAGCTTGAGAAACAAAAAGTAGTTGCATGTATTATTTTTTTTTGCATTAAAGTCAGTAAAGACAGAGGACACAGCAAATTTAATGACACTGATCAGATGGAGTATTAATCACAGTACTGCAAGTAATGCAAATTAGCAAAGTCAGGCATCATGTAGAGAGTAGTAATCTCTTATTTGAGTAACAATTTTAGCTGGAAAAGTAGCTAAGATTTTGAGTTCAAAGTCCATTTAATGTGGAAAAAGAAATATCAGGTTAAAAGAAGCCTCTGTAAATACATCAGAAGTCTGTCAAGGCTTCTCTGATCTCAAAGCTTTCTCTGATCTCTCCATCTTTCTCTAATTCTCTCAAGATATTGCAGTCCTTAATTCTTTTATATCCTTAGACCACCAAGCTAGCAGGATTTTTAATTAATTATATGAATGTACACACTGTTAGCTTATAACACATCTGCATACTAAGACTTTGAAAAATTACATAATACCTGGAAAGCTAAACCAGCCATCCAGCATAGCTAAGATAAAGTTGTAGCACGGTCTCTGGAAGTGTTCAAAGCCAGATTGGACAGGGCTTTGAGCAACCTGGTCTAATGGAAGGTCTCCCTGCCCATGGCAAGGGGGTTGGAACTGGATGATCTTTAAGGTCCCTTCCAACGCAAACCATTCTATAATATGATTCTATGGTCTTTCTAAATACATTAGGTCCAGGGATTTATGAACAAAATTAATATTGACTAAAAAAAGGACAAGTGAGGAATTTGCAGTTGTCAGGAGTATATACTACAAATATAGCCTTTCAGTAGGTTATTTCTTGTGGATAGTTGACTTGGCTATGTATAGTTGGTTGCTGATGTAGGGGGAATTGCTTTTATATTCTATTTCAGGACTTTTAATCATGTTTTATTATTATTTTACCGACTTTTCAACATCTTATCTTAGTATCTGAAATTTCTGGAGCAACTTAATGAGAAAATGAAGCTGGATATCCTAGCAGCAGAGGTTGGATTTGATATGAATGCAGATGCAATTCTAGCCCGGGTAGAGCAGTTAGTGAAACTGGAAGGTGAGGCAGTGATTGAAAACAAGACCATGGCATATAACCTAAGAAGGAAGGTAAGCAAAGATTACATACCTTTGCTCTTTGTTTCAAAGATAAACATTGTTATGGCTATATTTCTATAGTGATTTGCTAAAGGCAGCACGTTGGAGCTTTATATATGTACAAGGAATTTCAAAGATGTCTGATACATAAAAGAAGACAGTAAACATTTGCAAACTGTGTGAACAGACTGCATATTAAAAGAACTAAACCCACCAGTTGGTTAAATAAGTGATACAACTTTTCATTGTGATGCATGTTTATATGTGTATATGCCTACTTTTTTGTACACATTTATATTATACTTTGGTAAACAACAAATGCCAGTATTTAAATCTCAGAGGATCTGCTGGAAAGGGGGGAAAAACTTCTCTAGAAACTAGTAGGATGTTATTTGTATTCAAGAATGTCAACATTTCAGCAAGAACTATGCTCCTTTGGGAGCAATTCTGTTCAAATTTGGTCAGACACCCTCCATCATCTTCCTATCTTAGAGTGAAATCTTCTGGCTTTAGGCTTATTAGAATGGTTTAGAGCTTAGAATTAGATCTGTTAAAGGTTTAAAGCAACCCTGTATTTTTTTTTGGAAGTAACTGCCTGTCTAGCAAGGAGTATAGCATGTATGTTAATACTCCTGAGATGAATCACAGAATCACAGAATATTAGGAG